GACAACCGGTCTCGTGGAAAGTCATATTCGCATGACTAAGGCTATTGCACTCAAAAACAAAGTGGACGCTAAACGAGACGGTCTTGAGGTTTCTGACGAGACGCTGATTTACGAGGCCACCATGTCACAAAACCTGTTGCTCAACTACGGCGGCAGCACACCGGCCAACGCGTTGCTCGGATTTACTCCCCGCGACTTCTACGATGGTCAGGCTTCTACGGTTACATCCGCCAGAGGTGCGCTCGAGATCTCGCCCGACACTTTTGAATCGAACATCAGGATGAGACTACGATCAAAACAGAATGTTCTGAAAGCGATTGTTGAAGAACGCATCGCGGTTGCCAACAGGTCTCGACCCCAACGACTGGACACTGAGAAGATCAAGGTTGGAGATCCAGTGGATCTTTACCGTACTCCCGACAAGAAAGATCAAGAAGGCTGGAGAGGACCCTGTGAGCTTCTCCACCTGAAGAGGACTGGTGCGATCGTGGTCTGGAACGGCTACCCGTACATCGTACCTCTACGACACATACGATTGCATCAACCACTCACCGGCTGGGTCACCAGCGTTTTGGAGCAGCACATGACCACCTCTGAGATGGTATACTTGGTGAGCGACTATGTGGACATGCTTGACATCATCGAGGGCACGATACCGTTCAAACCTCAGATCATGGGCAATATTATTGGAAAGGACGGTCTTCAGCATCAGACGCCAGCGGATCTATCTCAGAACCCTCCTAAGCTTTGGCAGCAGGCAGTACAGTGTGCGGAGAACGAGTGGGGCATTAAGATCGACGGCATCATATACGGCAGGTGCGTTAGACGGCTCTACGAGGTCAGTGGCGCATCATTCGGTCGACAAGTAATCTGGGACTGCACCAATCGATCTCAGTACGTCACGCGCGATATCAACCCCAGCAGGCAAGTACTTGACATCCTGAATACGATCCCAGGCATGAAGGACACCGACGCGTGCAGCATTGTGTTCTACACGTTCAACGCAGCTTCGGAAGACGCCGAGACCAAGAAGTACGTCCTGCCAGACCTCTCCGACATCAGCAGCATTGGCTACGATCCCGACGAGGACTCACCAGATATTGATCTTCCTCTTCAGTGGCCTCACAGTCCACCAGAAGACCGAGGAGCACCACCTGATGCACCGGCTCCCGCTGTCCAACCTGGACCGTCGTCGAGCCCAACATCACCCGGAGTTGCTCAACCAGCAACGTATGGACCTCCAGGTCCGCCTCCAGCTCCTCCAGCTCCACCGGCAGTGCGAGTGAGTCCAGAGAGGTTTGATATCAGCGATCGGGACATGACGTGGCAAGAAGAAGGTGACAGCATCAGCAGTCCTTCACAACTCATGCCACCGCGACCTCCATTTCCTCCGGCACCTCCTGCGCCTCCAGCGGCTTCGAGGATTCGGATTCGAGAGCCCGAGGTGGATCAAGTGGTACCCTTCGACGTAGACGACCATAGCATGGAAGAGATTGGCGGCACTGGCGGATCTCCTGGATTACCTCCGGCACCACCCCCAGCTCATCCAGTACCGAAGACGGCTACACCAATCGTGGTACCAAAGATTCAGACACCTACTCCGATGGCATCATCACCCATCGAGACACCAGCTCCAGCGCCAACTTCTATTCCTAAGACGTGGCGGCAGAAGATTGAACGACAGGAGCTCAGCAGGTCACCACCTCGGCAGCGAAACGCACCCGGCATATCGAGTCAGGCAGCAGGATCACGAACATCCACGACATCATTACCTCCTACTTCTCATCCTCCAGCTCATACCTCATCCAAGACTCCTACTACGGCAGTGCCACCGACTGAGTCCACCGCGGCAGCTCCGACATCATCGAGCAGCCCGGCTAAGACGAGTTCACCGGCACAGACTACGAATATCCACGATAAGAAGGAACCAACTCCCGTGAGGATCGACACTCCTGAGGCTGACAAGGACACCATCGAGTACGATCATGCTCCCGACAAGAGCACGGTTGAGTACGACGAAATTCCTGAGGGCGCAGCATCACCAGCACCAACGGTTGACTACGGCTCGCCCAAGAAATACGACGAGGTGAAACCATCACCTGAGAAGGTTCAACAGACCTCGAAGAAGCACGATCTCAGTCATGACGACGGCATCAGGATCACTGGTCAGAATCTGTCACCATCACATCCTCCTGACAATAAGAGAGTTCGACTCCGATCGTCATCAGAAGCTCCTCCCGACACCGGCAAGAGGCCACTGCCACTCAAGGAATGTGCGAGTGGCGGACAATCGGCACCTTCATCACCTCCACCGTTGACGGACACGAAGAGACCGAAGTTGTTTGAAGGTTTCCTGGCTTTCGGTGATCAACAGATCGGCATGGCTCACGTTCAGGACCGACACTTGATCAGTGCGTGCATGGCTACTGAGGAGTTGGACGAGTACCAGCACATCATGATGAATATGGCCCAGGAAGTCTCAGAGAACCTACGACAGATGCAGAACAAGACGACGACCTGGACATCATCAGAATCACACTGGGTCATACCAGGACCGTTCAAAGAAGATCGTACCTTTTATTTTGACCTTTTGATTGGTGAAGCTATATATGCTCAATCGGATGACGTTCTCACGGAAGCAGATATTATCGCATACTGGGACAACGTCGAGTCAGCTGATAGGGCCGAAGCTAGATCATTTATTGGCAACTCGTGCTTTCGCGCGGCTCACCAGAACAGTCTGGACACCAACAACATCATCGACGCTACGTGGGTCAGACGTTGGAAGGAGATCTACAATGACAAGAACGAAATCTCCTGGATCATTAAGTCTCGCCTTTGCGGCAGGGGCTTCCTCGACGCACAGAAGAACGACGTGATGAGGCACTCCTCGACGGCTCCCAGGCTTTCTCAGAGGATTATCGCTTCACTCTTCTCACTTGAGAAGGACTTGACCCTGGAGACGTGGGACATCTCAACGGCGTTCTTGCAGGGACTATCCTATGAGACCTTGCGTCGAAATGCTAAGCGTATGGGCATCGAAGTCAGAGAACAACGGAAGGTATATCTCAAGCCGCCGGCCAATGTCTGGCGTCACTTCAGAGACTACCCCAAGTCCAACATCAGGATTCCAGAGCTTGAGGTACCATTCTTTCTACTTCAGCTGTTGAAGCCCATCTACGGCACGGTGGACGCTCCACTTCTATGGCAGTTGGCGTTGTCATTGTTCGTGATGGAAGATCTCTCCGGCATCCAATCAGTATTCGACGACAACTTCTTCATGTGGATCAAGGAAGGCACCATCATGATGGTCTGGACTGTGCACGTGGACGATATCATAGTTCTGGCAACGACGGCCTGTCTATGTTGGAGCTTGGCTGAGATGGAGAAGCGCTTTGGGAAAATCAAACGTCATCAGTTACCGTTCACTCACATGGGCATGAGCTACGAGCAGTTACAGCCCAGGCACTTGTTCATCCACCAGGAGAGCTTCACGGACTCGCTGAAGAAGATCTTCATTGAGCCGACCCTGAAGGACAAGACGGAAAAGGAGTGCAACCACAAGCAGCAGCATGACTTGAGGAGCGCGCTTTGTAGTTTGTTGTGGCTGTGTCAGACACGCGAGGACATCTATTGTGAGGTAGTGCAGTTGCAACAACAGGTGCGCAAGGCTAACATTGGCCATCTCAAGCAGGCGAACCTCCTGATCGAACGAGCTCAGCGCAACAAGAAGATGGCAGGACTTCACTTCGCACCGCTCAGTTATCCAGTACGGTTGGTTTCTATAGGCGATGCAAGCCACGGTGGTACTAAGACCACTTATCCTCAAGAGGGCACGGCAGTATGTTTAATGGAGGACCACATGCATGAGCTGCGAGTCAAGAAAGATCAGGTTCATCCAGATGACGCTCATATGATTGGTGGTAGTTGTCATACGTTGTCCTTGGCATCAGGTAAAGCAAAGCGGATATCACACTCGACGTGTCACGCAGAGACCAACGCGGGCTACAAAGTTAATCAAAGCGCTCAGTTCATCGCACTTGGACTGACGGAGGTCATCACATGCACAGACGTTCAACACAAGGCAGCTGACATGATGGAAATTTTCGATCGGAGTTTGTACCAGATTCGAGTTGATCACTGCACAGATTGTATGGGCTTCTGGCAGTTATGTTGTGGAGTCAAGGGCGTGCCAAGTGATAAGGGATCTCGTCTGGCCGTGCTGTCCATGCGTGAGGAACGTCTATCAGGACGCATTCGACATTTCCTCCACCTTCCGACGGAAATCATGTTGGTCGATGGACTCACTAAGTGCGGCATCTTCAAGTTACTTATGACACATATGACGACTGGAGTTTGGAAGATTTCAGTGCCCAAGAACAAGTTCATTACCATGCGGACGATCATAGAACCTCAGACCAGCTTCGACGAGACCGACTTATTGGACATGAAGTATTAACGAAATCGATGTTGACTCCTGCAGTGATATTTCAGAATGGTTTGGTAGTCTTCAGAGACTTACTATATCATATTTTATTATATTGGAGCTGTACACCGGTCGGATCTTCGACCAGTACGTGTGCGTCGGCCTGATGTACGCGATGGTGTACTACACGAAGGCTTGACCTCTTCTCTCTCCCTCTCACCTCCGTTCCTAGATCAGTGTAGTATATGTTCTTATGGTTTTCGAGGCTAGAGGCCTTATGCATGCGAGTGAATTTGATTTTCCAGAATGCAATGAGCTTGTAAATCGCCCTCGATTTGAAGGAGCTTGATTTTTTATCTTCAATTCGGGACACTGGAACCGGAGCTAGGATTTCAGGTAGTAAGGCTTGGCTTTAGGGTTCTAGTTGAATGGTGTAAGCTTTGCAGACAGACAGACAGGTATGTGCCCGTATTCGCATCGGGGCTCAAGGAGAAACATCTCTCTTATCTCCGCTCTCCCTCCTCCTCCTCCTCCCTCCCTCCTCCTCCCTGCTCTTACTCCTCCTGTCCTGCAGGTTGACGTGCTTCTGGAAGACGACGACTCCATCGAGTTAACGTACCATCAGACCTGGAAGGCATTACGGTGGCTCGGCTGGAGAATCCCAAAGGAGGTGGGCCGCTTGCCGGCGCCGCTGCCTCCTCTTACCAGTTCACATGTGCCTTCGCCTGTTCGATTGTCCAGTTTCCTCATCGCCACCAATCCTTTACTTCTTGCCGTCTTCCTTTCATACCCTCATTATCAGCAGCAGTAGCATCGTCAGCATCATCGTCATCATCATCATGATCATCAGCATCATCATCATTAGGATTATCATCATAATTAGCATCATCATCACCATCACCATCACCATCATCATCATCATCATCATCAACAACAACAACACCATCAACACCAATTATCATTGGCATTAGTAGCATCATCACCCTCATCGTCATAAACATTATCCTAAGCATCCACATCGTCGCCGTCAGCATCCTCATCGTCGTCATCATCAGCACCTCCTCCTTCTCCTCCTACTCATCCTCCTCCTCCGCCTCCTCCTCCTCCCTGTTCCTTTCTCTGCTTCTCTGTTCTTTCACCTCCTCCTCGTCTTCCGAGCATTACGAACGGGCTGCATTCGGGGTGCTCTGGTTTTTCCCTGGATGCACCTCGCGCGCATATTTTCAGGGCTGGGTTTCTTGCGGCCGCGGCCGCACAACACTGCCCCAGGTGGTTCCAGGATGGCGGATGGCCTCAATAGCTCGAGAGGCACCCAGCGCGGGAACGACCGCCCGCAAGGGCCACCCAGATTGCGTTCCCTGTTGATGCGCTTGCAGCATGCGTCTGCGGATGCGTCCTCGAGCTATGCTCGGAGCTCATGCTGTCGTTCCTTCGCAGCTGGCAGGGTTCGTTACCGCTCTTCCGTACCGCGCTTCCCCTGTGCGGCTCCTTCGCAAGCGCAGCTGCAGCTGCGTAAAGGGCCACACGTACCGAGCGTGTCGCGCCCCCCCCTCCTCCGGCCCGCGGCCGACCCTCGGCCTCTGCGTCTCCCCGACTGCTTCGCAGCCCGAAGTAGCTCCACCGACTTGAGCGTTCGCTGGGCCCGTGCTAAAATGTTGTCTGCACTCTGCCTGCATTGTGCCGTTGCCTTGGACGCGCCCGCCGCCCTGGCAGCGCGAAGGCGGCCGGGAGCGACCATCGCAGGTCTGCTTCCCGGTTTGGGTCGGGGGCTGCGGCCCGCAGGCCGGAGGGAGTGTGACGAGCCGTCAGCCTGGCGCCCGCGCGCCAGATCCACGGGGCTCGGCAAGGGGCCCCCAGATGGAGCCAGCCATGGGCGCAGCCTCTGCGAGGGGAGCGTGTGGCGCATTGCTCTCAGGAGGGGAGAAAAAACACAGACACAATCAATCGTCGATTCCCAGGGAAATGTGCAAAATATGGGAAGTGGGGGGACGACGAAATATGCAAAATAGGGAAATGGGAAATAGGGAAATGTGCAAAATATGGGAAGACGAAAATCCCCCCCAACAAAAAATATGGGGAATCCTGTTACTTGTGTGTATTTATTTGTGTGTCCCAGGGTCCCTTCATGTCCAGTCGAAGGTGCGGAAGACAAAGCAGTGTGAGCATGAATGTCGGCGCCCGCCGCCCACAAGTTGTTGCCGGGCTGCCTGTGCACGGCTGCGCGGGGCAGCGCCCGCGCCCTCCGCCGCGGCAGGGCGGCACCGCGGCGGGCCAAGCACTCGGCCGGCCGCAGGCGGGCAGCCGCACACGCTCTGCGCGCGCGGCGGCGCGCGCTGCGCGGGCAGGGCGGAGGAGGCGAGCCGCACGCGCACCCGCGGGCGCCGGACAGCAGCGCCGCCCCTGTCTCGGAGTCTGATAGACCTCCCACCCTGACACGTCCAGGTCCGTCGAGTTCGGTCCTGGGCCGATTTCACGAAAGGGGGGTTTACTGAAGGGAGGCTTGGCCACCGCCGACTGCTGCCTCCGCCCCCCCCCCCCCCCCAGGGGAAAGTGAGTGGCACAAGCGTAAGCTTTCTGAGGTCCGGGCGGGCTTCTCGGATCGGCGCTGGAGCCCCCCCTCACCCCTCCCTGGCGCGCGGAGCGCGCCACGCCGCCTGGCCAGGAGCTCTCTCGTCTCACCCTCACGATCTGCATCATCCTCCTGATTGATCCTCCCTCCTCCTCCTCCTCCTCGGCCTCGTCCTGCTTCTCCTCGTCGTCGTCCTCCCCTGCCTGCTTTTCCCATAATCCTCCCCGTCGTCTCACCACATTTCTACTACTTTGCTTTATCCTCCTACTTTTCTTTCTCGTCATCCCTTTTGTCTATCCTTTATCATCCTCTTCCTCCTCCTCCGCCTCCACCTCCGCCCCTCATCTCTCTCCCCCTCTTCTACGCTTGCCTCCACCTCCTCCTTCTCCTCCTCCTCCTCCTCCTCCTCCTCCTCCTCCTCCTCCTCCCTCCTCCCTTCTCCCTTCTCCTGTCAGATCCTTCTCCGTACTCAAATTCTTCTCCTCGTGGCCAAGTAACGGCTTCCCTGCCTCAAGCTTTGTGGACCAATGTGTCAACACTATTTGCCGCCCTTTCGAGTACGCGTGGTGACTGTGTACTACGTCGCAGGCATGCGATTGGAGGCATGCCCTAGTCTTCATGCAGGGGTGCCCCGTGCTGCTGCGCCCCGCCATCCTGGCCTGTTCCGCGCGTCGCCCGTCCTGCCAGGTCCTCGGATAAAGGCCCTCTGAGGGTCGGCGGGAGTCTTCGAATCGTGACTTATCTTGGCCTTGATCCCCGAGTGCTCAGTGCACTCGCGCGCGGCTGGCGAGGCAAGCCATAGCTACTCGTCTTCCGAGTCTGCTCTGCTTCTCTCGCTGCCCATCAGCCTTGCATGTGCTGCAGTCCGCGCCCGGCCCGTGCCCCCATCTATCCCCCTTCGTCCTCGTGGGGGGCGTGCGCAGCTGCATCGCTTGCCCAGCGACGACCGCGAGAGGCGCTAAACTGTGACCGCCACTCCTCCCTCGTTCTATCCCCCTTCGTCCTCGTGGGGGGGCGTGCACAGCTGCGTCGGTTGCCCTGCGACGACCGCGAGAGGCGCGAAACTGTGACCGCCGCTTCTCCCGCTCTCTCTCTCTCTCTCTCTCTCTCTTCATCGGTCATCCTCTCGGGCCGCACGGGCTCTGGCTCGCTGGCCAGTTCTCCAGCTCTCGCTCCGTTTTTGCTCGGGGATCCGGTGCTTCCGACGCCGCCAGAGGCTGGTGGCCGCGCTGCGAGACATCGGGCGTCCTCGTCCTCGCCTCCTGCCGCCCCTCCCTCCCCGCTTGGGGGGCCCCGAGCCGACGGCCAGGCGCTCGCCCCCCCCCTCTCCCAGAGGTGCAGCAGCAGCTGATCGCCTCGGTGGACCTGGACAACTCGGGCCGCGGCAGGGTGAAGTCAACCTCACCTCGTCGCCGTCGTCGTCGTCCGGCGCCGCAGAAGGGGGGCGTGGCGCAGAGCTCGCTTCGACGGGTACTCACCACGGCGCGAGGGGGGGGGGGGGGAGTGGGGAAGATACCCGTCCTAGAGTGCCCTCGCCTTCATGTCTGGATACTCCGTCAGAACAGACACCGGGAGAGGTCAGGGAGGAGGAGGAGGAGGAGGAGGAGGAGGAGGAGGAGGAGGAGGAGGAGGAGGGGGCCCCCCCAGCTCTGAGCAGGCCTGGTGACTTCTCGAGAGATGTCGAGCGGGGGGACGAGTGGAGCACCGCTCCTGAAGCGACATTGCAGTGCCGTTTTCGTCGTCACCGTCCCCAGATACGGGTGATTGTGAGGGTGACTTGCCGAGCCTGGACGGCGCATACGATGCCGACGAAGAGGCCGCCGCATTCTTTGAACACATGTGATGCCTGCCTGCGAATGCGGGTTGTTCATTCCAAACGCATCGCCTGGGGACCAGCTACGCACGGTAGCAGATTCCAAGCGCAACGAGTAGGGACCAGCTGTGCACGGCAACGAATTTCAATCGCAACGCGTAGGGACCGGCCACGCACAGACTCATGCATGTTTGCTAGCCCAGTCGTCACAATCAATACGCTGCACTTCCGCAGCGGCCCCTGTCCCTGTGCAGCCTGCTATGCCGCTCGAGCCCCAGGCCGCGCCAGCGCTTCGCGATCTTACGAGAGGTTCTTGCCTCCCGTGCAGCGGGATTTCTTCCGATTGGTGTAGCACCGTCGTTTTTGCCACAACGAGATTGCAGGCCACTGTTATCGCTGTTTGTATTCATCCCCATCTGACGTATAAAGTCCCCAGACACCCGGAGCCTCTGGAAAATGAAATCGAGGCGGCCAGCTTGTCATCAGTCATCGAGTCGGGAGACCGGGGTCGGACCCTGGGACCGTCACGAGACGACTCAGGACAAGAACCAGACCCCGTGGAAGGGGTCAAGAGGGGCCCACGGACAGAACAAATCTTGGTCGTCGCGGTCGATCGAGGTTCGAGGATCGAGTCGAGGTTCTTGGATCTTTTCGGGGGTCGCCGCGGCTGGAATCCCGTTTAGATTCTGGTCAGAGCGCTTTCTGGGAGAGGTCTTGGACCGACTTTGTAGGGGGGGGTTCGTCGTTGTCGTCGTCGTGAAGACCCCGATTCTGATTTTGAGGCAGGCTCCAGGTGCATGCCACAACTCTTGAAGGTGCAGAGGCGGTCAGAAAGTTCAGATCAATCGAGTCGTCGCCGCCGCCATCGGCCATCCTCGTCGTCGTTCCCGTCGCCGCTCTCGTCGTCGTCTTCCGCCTGTAAGACGTTCTCGAAGGGAACAGGGTACAGTGGAGGCCCATGCCAAGAAACAGCCTGCTTGCCTCCAGGGTGCCCTGGGTTTCGTTGGTTTCGGTGGTTTTGCGATGGAAGGCGCGACGTGCCCACACCAAAAACCAATGGACGTCCTGGGGTCTCAGGGTTGGGTTTCTTGTGGAAGGTTTCTTGTGGTCGGGCACCTACTGTAGTGCGAGCGGCAGGAGGCGGGGCGTTCCAGAAAGGCCCTCGCCTTTGGCGCACCCCACCGCTGGCGAAGCCCGCGGAAGTGGAGCGGCGGGCGGGCGGGCAGGCGACAGGCCCGCGGAGAGACGGCGGAAGCAGAAGCGAGACTCGGAGGATCGGAGATGCGGCCCTGAGGGAGGAAGCCCCAGGGGTAGGAAGCGGCTGCTTCTCACTGCTCCACGCCCCATGGTCCAGAACGAAGAGTCCAAACGGTGACGCTGAGAAGAAGGGCCGCGGTGAGCAGCGAGTGGCGCCACAAGACCGGCGGCGGTCATGAGGCTGCAATGGGATGATCACGTAATTACCCTAGGCCTCCTAGATGGGGTCCGAGTTGATGGGGTCGGAGGATCGCGCCGCATCGCCGATGCATCGCCGATGCGGCTCGATGTAGGGCCGGATGTGCTTCAGGTCGACGTCGGCGATACATCGCCGACGTCTACGATGCATCGCCGTTGCATCGCCGATGCATCGCCGACGCACCGCCGATGTATCGGCGATATGGCGCGTTCCTCCGACCCCATCTACTCCGACCCCATCCACCACCACCACAGCCAAGCATCAGGCAGGACTCGTGGGCAAAAGAGCGCACGATTGGAGACCCCTCGTGAATTGTACGATAAGAAACGGCAAAAGGAGCGCCCGACTGAAGCAAGAGATGGGAAGCCCGACCCCGTCCAGGAGGCCTCTAATCGGAAACTGGAACATTTGCATTACCAGTGGCGGGCTGTTTTTCAATCCCAGAAATTTTTGAGGGTCGGGGACGACGTCGGAGTGGTGGTGTGTATACTATTTCACCCGTCTCCCCTCACAAAGCATGTATACACCAGGGTCCCGTAGACACCATGATCCGCTTTCCTGTGCGAGGTCCAGTGCGGGGCCGAAAAAAGTGTCGGTGTATAGAGTTCGCTTCCTTATCGAAGTACGCACGCGCACATTTTCTGGACCCCATCCAGGATGCCTCGAAGTACAGTCGGGTCGCTGAACAAGGGGCCACTTTCTTTGTGGAGAGGGGCTCGGTGCTCCTTAACTGCTTTGCAGGTTCTCTTGGGTGTTCCGTGGGTTTTGTGTGGGACATCGAGGTGTAACTGATGAGAAGAAAGGGGCTGCGCTCCTTAGTCAAGGTTCCTTGTGACGGCGTTTCGACTGTACGCAGGCGCACATGCTCTGGCCCCGCGGCCACGCGCGCAGCGTCGCGGCGCAGGGCAGGCCGGGCGGAGAAGGCGCGCGCGGGCCGGCCCAGGTCGCGTGGCCCGCCCACAGTGGATCGACAGCGCTCAGGAGGGGGCGAGACACACAGACACAATTGATCGTCGGTTCCCCAGAGGGCATGGGGAGCTGTGGGAAGCTGGGGGGAGGACGAGGGCCGCGAATGAAGGAAAGCATAGGGGGAATCCTGGGACTCGTGTGTGTGTGTAGTTGTTTGTGTGCCCTGGGGCCCCCTGTAAGGCGTCATTCGCGAAGGGGCAGTCGCGAGGGGAGCAGCGGGGGAGGGGGGGGGGCACGCAAGAGGATGGGCGCGAGAGGAGCGGGTCGCAGCAAGCGGTCCACAGGGGAGGCGTACCAGGAGGGCGAGGAAGCGGGCACCAACGGGCCCTTGCGCGGCAGGAGGTCGCAGCGGAGAGACGGGAGAAACGGCGGCAGGCGGGGCGGCCACACACGCGCGCACACGCACACACACGCACACACGCACACACGCACACACGCACACACACACACACACACACACACACACACACACACACACACGCACACACACACACACACACACACACACACACACACACACACACACACACACACGCGCACACACACACACACACACGCACGCGCACCCACACACACGCACGCGCACCCACACACATTCGGGCCACATGTCGCGAAGTCCCGTCCTCGCCTTCGGCGCGGAGGGCCACCGGAAGTAAAACGTCGACGGGCGCGCAGGCAAATGGCCCGGGTAAGGCGGCGGAAGCAAAAGCGAGAGCCCGAGGATCGAAGACGCGGCCCTGAGGGAGGAAGCCTTATAGCGGGATGGGAGCGCTACGCAGCCTCTTTGAACGGTTCACGGACCCCTCGCCCTGGGGCCGCACCCATAGATCCGATACAAATTGCCAGGGACTTGTTCGGCCTCCTGGAGTCGTTTTTGGGCCGGGGACCGTCAACGAAATTGACCCGGGGTGAAAAAGCTGCACCAGGTGGACGCTGGAGGGTGCCCAGGGACCGATTTTAAGTGGTGTTGCCTCATCCCCCCCCCTATTGACCGATTCTCACGGGGCCCAGCCAGCTCAAAATTCACTGGCCGCCTCCAAGAGGGGGTGCGCGCGAACATGCAGCGCGCCTCGCGCAGCACCGGTGTCGAAGTTTTGGGCATCACCGCCATCCCATCCAGAGCAGGTTCGTGGGGACGTTGAGGTGAGGGCTGAAGTTCCTGATTGCGCCTGCTAACGGGGGCGCAGCCTTTCTGGGGAAGTCATCACGAGGTAAGCATGCGCAAAGTGAGAGGGGACACCAGTCAAGCGAAAGCTGAAATCAGCCCGCGCAGCCCGCAGCGATGTTCAGCGTTGGTATCTCCAGGAGCCTCTCGGAGGCCACTCGAGCCCCCCCCCATGGCGCTCTCGTGGGATCAATTCAAGAGACCGTTCTGCCTTCTTGTGGCTGCTTGGGGCGACATCTTGGAGCGACGGCGACCCTTCTGGAGATCATAAAATTGCCCCGTGGGGTTTTCATATGGCTCTATTGGATTGCCCCCAGAGGTCTTTGGGGTCGCCGTGGGACTATTGCTGTTCCTTCGGAGCTCTGGGGCCATTTTAGGGCCACCTGGAGGCTTCCGACGCTCTTTGGGAGCTGAACAGGCGAGACCGCGAACAGCATCAAACACTTACTCGCGCTTTTCCTGGGAAGTTGGCTTCTTGGGGGTCTCCGTCAGAGGCGTTGTGTCCCTGTTGGGGCATCCAAAAGCTATATCGGGTGCCACCTGGGCCACATTGGGGCACCTCGCGCTACAGTGGGGGCGCGCATCAAGAAACCATTTGAGTTTCGTCAGAGTACCCTGGGTTTCTTCGTTCCGCGCGCTGCGCGGTGACTTCCCGCGGCCGTCAAAGACGCTGATTCGATCAGGATGCTCGGGTTTTTCCCTGAGGCGCACCTCGCGCGCGGGTTTCCAGGGTTGGGTTTCTTGCGAGGGTTTATTACGACCGCGCCCGCACTGTATCTTCGGGGCCACCTTGGGTTGTCCGGGCCATCTTCGAGCCAGTTTCGTCTCCCTTGGACGCTCCAGCATCTCGCGAAGCCACGGTCTGTATCCCAGGGCATGAAGGCAGGAGGAGGGGTGGCCCCTCCCCAGGGTAAGGGGTCGGTTTGGCATAGCTCGCACCGACGTCCAGGGCTGGACCTAAACGGTGTTTTTGGT